CCCCAAAACCCCAAAACCCCAAAACCCCAAAACCCCAGCTCAGAGGGGTTTGGTTGAAAATACCTAAACATTCTCACAAATATTCGTATAAGCTAAGGAATGAGTCAGAATTGCTTTACAGATTGAATCTGTTAGGAAGCTCAAGAGCAAAAGGTTCTTCTATGCACAAGACTAGGATAAGACAATATTCGTCATTGTTGATAAGACTATTGTTATTTGTTCCTATTATCATTTTGTTATGCTTGGTTCGTGCTTCAACCCTTCGATGTAAATACTTCCACTATCTGCTTGTTTATGCCTTGAATTGCTCATTTTCTCTTCCAAGCAAGTCTGAATGCTGCTTGATTGTCTGAAATTTTACTAGCTTTGCTGGTTTCTCTTTATTAAGAGCTCCCCCAGATCCTTGAACTGTGTGCTTCTTTACTATTTGTCTCTCTGCTATTTGCTTAATTGTGGCTGATTTATTTGTAGCCTAGGTTGAACAGGAGATGCTTACTCTGCTTTTTAGTTATAGAATTCTTTCTGACATGCTTAAATGCCTTCTTCTCTGTAATTTGATTCTGAGAGAGCTTGGGACTCTTTTCTGACTCTTGAAGGTGGTTTTGTGGAGATAATGGGCTTACAGGAGGTAGATCAGTTCATAACTTCTCCTCTTCTGGAAGAGACTTCTCCTCTTGTTTTGAGTACAAGTCTTCAGCCTCTCCGGTTGTACTCTCATCTTTCTGTTTTGTGTATTCTCCGAGATCTGAAGTTTCAGGTTCCCTTGTTGGATAAGAAGAAGCTCTCCTGTTTTTATCTAGAGTGTTAGTAGCCATATAATACTTTTTGGTAACCATGGGAATAGAATCAGAAGGAAGAATGTCCTTGTTTCTAAGAGTTTTATTATAGCTCTCTCTTGTGATATTGAAACCTTCTCTCGTTGTTTTAAGCTTTTTAGATCGTTCAGTCATAAATGTTCATCTTTGTCTTTGATCAGTTATTAATTCCTTTTGTTCAAAAGTATTAACTTTTGGCAATTTTTGGAAAGAACTCAACTTGTGATCAGGATAATACCTCCGTGTTTTAACTCCATTCTTCGGATGCAAGCTTCTATACCAAATTATACTTAACTCTGGGGGTAAATTACATTTAAAACTCATTAAAACACTTCTAAACATCCATATATCAACTCCTAATCCTATTTTACCTGAAATTTAATATTCCATTACTTTCCTCTACTTTTATACTAGATTTAACATTCTTGAGCCTCTTCATCATCTTAAAATTATCTAAAGTAATCTTAACCAGCTGTTTCTTCCTGAACTCATCATTCAGGGATTTCTTTTTGGCCTTATTCCTACCAGGGCTGCACAAAGAATTGTATTTATTTCTTGGCTAGTTCTACTAGGCGGATATTCTCCTTCTCGATTTCATTATACCTTCTCATGACTTCATAATCCCTCTTCGTATTTATCTTAATGTGCTTGTAAGTGAGACCAGGAGGAGATTTTGTATTGACCATCGGCCTCATTTTATTTAAGAGATTGTACATGGAGTTTGTATGCTTTTTCATCCCATTTCTTGTTCAACAGCCTATATAAAGTTAAGCATCAAGGCTGCAAAAGGAGTTTTGCAGCAGAATGGGCCTGAGAGGGATAGTCCAAGGACTTTCACTTACTGATTAGGAGACCTCGTGAGACTATTGAGCGGCTTGTTCATGGTAAATTGTATTAAAATTATATTTAATGATCTTGGGGTTTTGGGGTTTTGGGGTTTTGGGGTTTTGGGGTTTTGGGG